ACAAAAATAATAATACTTTCAAGTCGTAAAAGACGTAAAACAAAGTTTTTCACTTCTGACTTGATGGAACTTCGTTTTATACTCCCATCCATTAAGCCACTTGACACTATTTATATTACACAAATTAATTAGTTTGTGGGGCAGTCGTTCAGCATATACATTCGGATAGAACAGTCTTCACTCATTTGATCCTAGTTCTATGTCCTGACTCTCCACGAGTGTTCCAAAGCGCATGTCAAAAATTTTCAATAAGAATTCAAGTGACTGTCTTCCTTTAGGGGTGCTCATAATTGTTTCTGTTTGTTTGTTTCTTTGTTTTTTGTTGTTGTTGCTTTTCTTAGCTGCACGCTTTTATTTTCAGGGAGGAAGTCTTCGATTCTCAGGATATCAAGTTGCCTATACAATTTATGGTAGCAATTAGATAACTTTAGTACGTTTAGTAAGGGCTCTAGTATTTCTTTCTTAGTACGGGGGAAATCTGCTGTAATCCATTGACCCGTTCATTTCCTCACTTCCATAATTCTTTAAGTTCAGAGTAAAAGAAAAAACTGATCGCATACGGATCGGATGAACTGCTGAAGGTTTCATTCCATAGAGTGGAACGTGCACTTAAAGTGGCCCATATTTTTTAAAACTATGCTTGGAGAGAAAATTGGGTCTCGACACGCATTTTAAAAAATAATGGGAGTCGCTGACATTTTTTTGTGTTATAAGCACTTGATAAACGATAAGCTAAGAGTGTGTTAAGAAGGCTTTAGGTTTCTATGGTGACGTACATGTACGGTACGTCAAGCAAAGATGGAAGTGCCTAATAGGCCATTTGCACTAAGAGGTCATGTGACATTGTTTTTATGAAATGAAAGTTATATGATTTTGCTTTCGAAAAACGATTAGTGGGTCATATCTTAAACAAAATAATAGTGATTTGGTTTTTCAAACTCACACCATTTCCATAAGATGAGTAAGTTCGTAGCTGGTCACGTGACCAAAATGTGATTTTTAAAATTATGAATTACTTCTTTCTAAACACAAAGTTTGCACTTAAACTTCAAGGAAAATGTTGAAAAGATAATGTGGGAACGTTTACAGCACATCTTAACAAGATATAAGCAAAAAGTAGTTTTAGCCGCCATGTTGGAGGGCAAGAGTATGCCCTCCAACATGGCGGCCAATACAAATCATACTACTTTGTTGAAAAATCAAAGTGCCATAAAATACCTCCCTTAAATGCGTTTCCTCTCAAATTCCGGGTGTAAGATAAATTTTATGTGCTCTGTCAATTTTTGGCATCAGCAAGGTTCCAACTCATTGTTTAAAGGAAGCATTGGTCACGTGACCTCTTAATGCAAGTGGCCTATTTCACGCTTAAGAGTACTAAAGTGCGATGTCATAAAAATGAAATTTCAGAAATTATGGGATTTGGCAGAATATTCTGAAAGAACAATGTCTAAGAGGCCTACTTGCCAAAAATGAGCATTTTGGGGCAAATTGTCTCTGAGATCGTAGTCCAGTTATGCTTAGAAAACTCCATACAAACCCTTCTCACACTTTCTAGCTAGTTTGGGAGCACAGGAAGACTGATATTGTACACATATTGCACATCAATGTTGTACATCAATGTTACTTGATAGTTTTCAGTGCATCTCGAATGGTAAGCCTGAGTAATTATTTTATTTGATGTTTGTTGTTTATATCTAATTTAGTGAAGTCGAGCGTAGTTTATGGGGCTATATAGTTTATACACGTTTGTTTGAGACAATGATCTGACCGAGTATCAGGTTTGATTATAAGCTTCTCAAACTCATTAATAATTCATTAAGAAAATACAAAGGAAATTAATGTTTAATGAGTGTTTGGAAATCGGATGAAACACTGCTTAGTATTTGCATCCTTAATTTCTTCTTCAAAAATGATTTTGTTTGAGAAGAAATATCAAACATTCGACACAGTGTTTCATCACCAGATGAAACACCTCGAAGTTCGTCAAAAATACTCCGCTGCGCGTCGTATTTTCAACTCTCTTCTCGGTGTTTCATCTGGTGATGAAACACTGCATCTCATGTTTGATATATTACTTACAGAACTTTAAAAAGCCTTCAGACATTTTCTCACCGCAAATAGAAAGAAAACGTCCCAAAGAATATTTAGTTCTACTTCTGGCTGTAAAGGAAAGCTTTGAGCGATTTTCTTGCTTCGAGTTCATCTTTAAAAAAAGCAAACACCGGGAAGCCGGCTTAAAACATAAACAAGGATTTTCAGAGACACTTTAATACTTGTCTTCGTGAATGACAATTGTTGTCTCTGTTTATGTTTCACCGAATTATTTTCCTTTTATTATTGATTGTTAGTAGTCTCTTTGCAATTTTAATCGCCGTGCCGTTTGTTTTCAGTCGCTCATAAACATCGCTGGCAGGAGTAGTCAAAATGCCACGTGTATCAAACGCTTTTAAAGATTACACATCGTTATAAAACCATTAGATTAAAAATAAACATAATAAACTCTTCATTATGTTGAAGCGTATAACTCCATTAATCTTAATTTAAACAGTCCACTTTGGCGCTTTGTCAAAAGTGAGAACCGGCTAGCCGTATAGGTGATTTTGGAAATTTTTTTAACGGTTTGGCTAAAAGCCCACGCGTGCTTCGATCGTCCTGAATATAGAATGAGTGCAATAGACCTTGTCACGGTTTTCGACGCCATCTTGACGAGTAGGCAAACGCGTGAGAAATTACAGTGATTGTATGAGAATTTAATGTCGAATAATTTCCGTAGAACGGCTGTTTTGAAAAAAGTATGATTTGTAAACTAAAGCTTCATTCCTAAGGATTCTCCTGAAAAAATTTGAGGGCGTTATATGCACTAGAAGACCTAGGACCACTTTTTTAAATTTTGTATACATTTGACTGTAAGAAAGTCCCGAGAAAATTACAGACAAATATACGCCCCCAAAATTTTTTAGGACAATCCTTTGCTCTTTAGCTTTAGTTTGCAATTGATATTTTTTTCAGAACAGCCGTTTTACAGGGGCACCCAACGACAATTTTCGGAAAAATATCTGTTCGGAAGACGATTTGAGATCTAGAATTTTCGGAACATTTTTGCTTGCCTACCTCTCCTAGGATTTTCGAACATGTAAAAAATGGTATAATTGCCTATTTTTAACGGATTTTTACCCTAAAAACGTCACCTAGAATTTTCTGGAGCCTGCTTTCTGGCTGAAATTTTCGAAAAGGCGAGTTTTGATCCCTATAATTTTCGGATCACTAGACTTTCAGCTAGGAAATCCGAACAGATGAAAAATTTTTAGGGGATAAAAGTATGCCTTTATCTACCGTTTAAATACTAAAATACGTTTAACAATGCTATGTTTAAGTGGTTTTGAACTATATTCTCGTTGGGTGCCCCTGGTTTTACGGAAATTATTCGACATTAGATTCTCATACAAACACTGTAATTTCTCACGTTTGCCTACTCGTCAAGATGGCGTCGAAAACCGTGACAAGGTCTATTTGTATTACAAAATTGTGAAATACTGCATTCTGTCCGAGGTCTGTATGATAAAAACAGCGCTTCATGGTACTGTTTCACCTCAGATGTGATGTATAAAAAGTATAAAAGGTTGGTTTACACGTCCCCAGTCTTGTTGGCAAGATTTTCTAAAGTAAACTTGTCGAACCACAGGTAACCCAGGCTCTGTGATAGTACCACAGTACGGTTCCAGTAAAATTACAGTGTTTGTATGGGGTAAAAATATCATCCTAAAATTTCTAGGAAATACTAAATAAAGATCAATGAAACTTACTCTGCAGTTAATTGTTGTTGTCCTTATTACTCCAACGAAGTTTCGTGATAATTTGCAGTAATTTGTTCAAATTCACTCTATCTACAATAATAATATACAAGGTAGGAAACACGAGGTGCCATTTTCGCCGACATGCTCTCATTCAACACAACTTTTTCCACGAAATTCGAGCTCCAACGGAAAGTAAACATGCCAGAATCGTAGAAATAGGATAGCAGCAGATATAGAAACCAATGAAACTTTCCCAGATAGAGAAACGAATCCCACAGACTTGGACAAACTCGAAGAATATAATCCAAACACACCGAGAATACGCTCGCCGAAGCAGCCGGGCCAGATCAACGCGCGGCCAAGAAAATGAGGCCTGGGCACTGTACAAAAAAATTCCATCCCGGGGGTCCTGGGGTGACCTTTCTAGGGACCGATACATCATTTGCCCAAGGCCACCCTCCCCTGCTGGAAAAATACTTGATAGAAGGCAATTGTTCTTCCTAGCCAATCACTATGGCCTGTTATAAAGAGATTATTTTCCTCTCGAACTATATTCAGCTCCTGGCGCTGGTCCTCAGAAAGTTTATCAAACATCAATAGGGCAAGGTTATAAGGGCAAAGGAAAGAACAACGAAGGACGATTTACAAAACTTAAAACGAGCTACAGATATAAGTGAATTTTGGCTCTTACCGAGGCATTTGTACAACAGGACCAAATTCAAAGAGAGGTGTATCATTATGATTCACATATTTAACCGATAGAGCGTTCACTTGTATTGACAAGAAGTCGGCGTGTTACTGCCGCATTAATCGCTAAATATGTTAATCGCGCTAGTTCTTTGTTTACTAGTGCACGTGCCTTTCACATTCGTCTCAGTAATCGCAATTCATATTCTGTCGCAATTTTCTGTACAATTTTTGACATTAGTTTGTAAGCTTCACCGTTTATTTACGATAGTTTCGCTCGAGATTTCACAGCAACAGTATCTCAGCCATCATCTACCTTTTGTTCAACCTTGTTTTTAGCCCGCCTTGTAAGCATTTCGCGTTGTTATTTCATTAGTTTCATTACTGTTATTTGCATCCCTTAGTAAAAGAAATGGGACGCCTTGTAACTCCGCAGACTCTCCTGATTATATTACTTTTTTTTTAGCCATTTAAATTCAGGCGCGTGTGCGGGGTTTGCTCCGGCAAAAATAGTGATTGGCTAGGGAGAACAATTGCCTTCTATCAAGTATTTTTCCAGCAGGGGGGGTGGCTTTGGGAAAATGATGTATCGGTCCCTAGAAAGGTCACCCCAGGACTCCCGGGATGGAATTTTTTTTGTACAGTGCCCAGGCCTCATTTTCTTGGCCGCGCGTTGATCTGGCCCGGCTGCTTCGGCGAGCGTATTCTCGGTGTGTTTGGATTATATTCTTCGAGTTTGTCCAAGTCTGTGGGATTCGTTTCTCTATCTGGGAAAGTTTCATTGGTTTCTATATCTGCTGCTATCCTATTTCTACGATTCTGGCATGTTTACTTTCCGTTGGAGCTCGAATTTCGTGGAAAAAGTTGTGTTGAATGAGAGCATGTCGGCGAAAATGGCACCTCGTGTTTCCTACCTTGTATATTATTACCGTAGATAGAGTGAATTTGAACAAATTACTGCAAATTATCACGAAACTTCGTTGGAGCAATAAGGACAACAACAATTAACTGCAGAGTAAGTTTCATTGATCTTTATGTAGTATTTCCTAGAAATTTTAGGATGATATTTTTACCCCATACAAACACTGTAATTTTACTGGAACCGTACTGTGGTACTATCACAGAGCCTGGGTTACCTGTGGTCGAACGCAAAAAATTCGGCCTGATTTGTTTTCCAAGAATTTGTTTTCCAGGCCTAATCTACTGTGATCAAGAGCCATTATGGCTATGCTATCTTTTGGGTGGACATATAAGGCTATCAACTCGATCTAAGATTATGTTCACTCTTAGCTTGGACTGTTTGCAAATTATTTTTCTCTAAAATCACTTAGCCTTTCCCTCAAAAGTCACATGAATTTGCTCTAAAGTTAACTGATTTGTGGAATACATGTGCAAGTTTATTGTTTGATTTAAATTATAAATTCGAGTTAATAGGAGCTTCGCTTTTAGCCCTGTCTAAATCTATATATTATGGAGTTTTCTGAGTATAACCGGCTAACATCTAAGAGACAATTTGCCCCCAGGCGGTGTGCGTCACGAGACTCGACCAATCAGAATGCGTCATTTGTAGAGTGATTTTCGCGCTCGGAAAGAGCCGATTTCAGAGGTATATGTGGTGAAATTTTCGCTTTATTCCAAGCTTGTGTTGGTAATTTCGACACTATACCGCCGTGGAAAGTTGTTGGAACACTTTATCTTGATAGCAGTTGCGTTACTTTTTAATATTTTGCTTTCTTGAGCGTTTGTGACAAGTTTGAATTACTCGGTCATGTGCAGGCAGCCATGATGATTGGAGTGTTGTTTTTGCCGTTCTTCTTGGATTTATTGCTGGTTACTGTTAGCGTTTTTATCGAATTATTTTGGCCATCTTGTTACTTCAACCTTTCTTCTTTGCAAATTTCGGGTTCTACCCGGGTCTACCCCTGTTAGTTTTCCCGTTATGAGCCGTTGAAAGTGTCTTGGAATTGAGACATCGTCTTAGCCAAGTGGCACAACTCCCGGGAAACGTGCTGAAAAAACATGCCGAAGCGGATGCCGACGTGAAGCGAGTAACGCCAAATCCAGGAAGAGTTTGTTCTATTTTAAACCACAAAAGGTAAATGAGTTTGAATATTGTAATAACCTTTGGAAAAAAAAATCATTTTTCTTGACCCAGTGAGGAAACTGAAAGCGTGACTTTAAAATAATTTGCATGCGGTGTGTGCTATGTGTATGCAAATCTTTGTGTAAACTTATGTGAGGGAATAAATTGTTATATTAAAATCTCTACCAAAACACAAAACCGTTATCGAAGATCCAGACAACATCATACAGGATTTTAAAACTGTGAGGTTAGGTTTTACTTTATAACAAAATCGATATACTGCGTGCGCTCCCTTCAATGACCGCACAGACAAGACAAGATCGTGGTTTATTTCACTGTTTATTTCTGCGACTGAAGCTTCGGTGAAATTCCGATTGTGCTGCAGCTGTTCGGCTCTTTCGGTCTGTTTTCCCCTTGCCTGATAGAAGATTTATTTACGCATAAGGATTTCAAACGGGCACTGTTTTCAAAATAATATAAACTTGTCGATGAAAATAAAATTGTTATGAGAGACGATTTCTCACCTTGCTGTTTGCACGCGCTCCCCCTGCTTTGCCGGTAACGAACTCCATCAAATATATAAACACTTCTGATGGACGAATTTTTTTTTGTTAAGCAAAGCCAGGTATGAACTACAGATCTCTTTCACTATGAGATAAAAACATGCATATAAACCAAACAGTACGTAAAATCTTTGAGAGGCAGGAAATTAGTCGCCGCTCAAAGTCGGCTAGATCGCACGTTCGTCTCCGAATCGCGATAAACTTCTTGAAATTGTCTTGTGAAGCCAATAGCAAGCATCTAAGGCCACTATAAGATCTTAAAAATTCTCGAAATCTCTCTCTTCCGTAATGTTTTTGGGAAAAGGCAGCAGTGTTTTGATCCCTGGGTTTGATTCATTTCTCTTACGAGATGCAAACTCGACCGTGTCACGATTGAAATGAGGCGCAGTAACAGTTTTACCCATGAACCTTTGTGGGTCGTGACGCACACCGCCTGATTTGCCCCGAAATGCTCATTTTTGGTAAGTAGGCCTCTTGGATATTGTTCTTTCAGAATATCCTGACAAATCCCATAATTTCAAAAATTTCATTTTTATGACGTCATCACTTTAGTAATCTATTGAGGACATAAACAAGCGATCACGAGTTCCTCTTTCTCCTTCTAAACTTGAATGCAGTCCCCAAGAAATCAACTCCAGGGAAATTCGTCTATATTCGACATTTTTAGCGAACTGGAATAAACGCGACAAAGTTTGAAAAAACGCGAATTCATTTTAAAAGTGACGTTTTCGCTGCCGTCACCGTCGTCGATGCTAAAACTCCCTAAAATCACATTCACTACTTTGTATAGATGTTTATGATTTCAAGTCAGATTAGAACATGTAGAAAGTGCCCACATCGCCTTTGACCTGCCCTTTTCCACCACTATCTCGGACCCGATAAAAGTTCTTTGATAAGCTTTGCGTGACGGGACAGGGAACGGCTGTGAGTAGTAGACGTTGAATAAAGTTTCGTTTTCCAAAAACATTTAGGGAAAAAGTTTATGACTTACGGTCGCTAGTGTTCGCTAAATGTGAGGTCTTCTATGACAGGTTTCACTGCGTGTGATTTCTTGTTTCTTTTTTCAGGATTTTTCTCGGTGGGAATTCTTCTATGGCTTGTTCTTTTTGGCACTGTATTTTATTTTAAGCATGCAGAACATGTCCTTCCCAAAATATTGTGGGAATGGTTTAAAGAAAACGCGGAATCAGCGATGTAAGTAAAATTCGTTACTTGTTTAAGTTTGTTTGCTTCAGCTGCTGCTACTGGGCCGCACATCTTTAAGGTTAAACATTGCGAATGAATCTTTTGGTGAGTTTTTCTAGGTTTATACTTCACTTTGCGTACCGTGCACTACAAGCGATCAGTACTTAGGTTATCCTGATTTTCATTCTCGGGTGTAAGTCGATGCTGCTCCCTACTTTATTATTAGCATCAGGTTTTTCATGAGAAACTGCAAACGGCAAACCGCAAAATGTCACGTGACCACGGCCTTGCGGTCACGTTTGCAGCTTGCAGTTCACGTTTGAACCGCAGGAAAGGCTTCCAGCGGTAAGTGATTTACAGCAAGGTGCATGTATTGTCACAAAAAACTGTACAGCCTCGCGTTCAAAGGTATGAACTAGCTTTTTATATCCGTTTGCGATGTGTTTGTTGGATTCTTGATATCGAATCAATGAATTATTGCTGATTTTTGGGCGATTAAAGTGATGCACTTCGACTTGATGAAAACAACATGGCGGCCCTAAACAATGCTCAAACCGCCCTTGGATACCTTGTGATGCCTACACAAAGTAATTGCTTATATGTATACATATATGAGTGAGCCCTGACTATAGTGATTAGGGTTAAGCACTAACAATACCAGTCCGGAATATCCCTAAATTTAAGGACAGGGCCAACTGGTCACGCGACACTTTTCAACCAATGAGAAGGCGCGCTTATTTAGTCAACAAACAAATCAAAACATCGCCCCAGTGAAAAAACAGCGGAAGGAGTCGGACAGAATTAAAGATGAGAGCTTACAGTACTCGTCTAGGTTTCACATTTAATATTTCAAAGAAAACATTTCATGTAAGAGAATAAGAGCATTATTCATTGCAAGGAATCATTGGGGTGTTCGAACTGATTCCGGACCGATCGCAGAGGTCGTGGCTTCACTGGCATGGCTTGCAAGATTTTTGATAGAAGCAACTGGTCCCGTGTAAAAATAGCCTTAGAGAGAGTGTGAAAATTTGTTGAGATCGTACAAAACAGGATTGGTACTACCTATTAACTTCTACAGGACAAGAATCAAAGAACCAGTCATCATAACAAGAATAGAAAGTAGTTCAAATTTATTAATTTTTCTTGTTTGTTTTTTTGTGTTGTTTCGTGTTGACTTCACGCATCTGGTGCTTTCTTTGCTTGCTGTAGTACCTGCAATGTTTTAATTTTATCCCAGATAATCAGTGCATGTTCAATGAGTAGCGAAATACAGCATTTACAATTGAGATTTGCCTTGTTTATTTGATTGTTTTTTAATGGTGGATGAACATTTGGAGAATCCAACAACATTAAATCTTTCCAGATTAGTGAATTTCAGAAACAAAGCGGTTAGTATCTACCTTGCTCTTTAATATGATCTTCAATTTCATCCCCGCAAATTCGGCAAAGTGGGGCGAAATGTTGGACGTGAATATCCATAAGACTAATAAAGTTGTTTTGGCCTTGAAAAGAAAAAAGGCAAAGGTTCGTACTAATGCGAAAAAAGTAATAACACGGCTTTTGTGAGAAACGCGGGAGTGGAAAACGTACGTGTTTTGGACCTCGGAATTCAAAAATTGTCTACCAAAATTCTAGGTTGTCTACCATCCCCACATTCAACATAATAAAAGTTAATCGATATGACAATCGAGGAAAAATATCTAGAACTTCGTAAAAATCTGTGAATCGAAAAAATAATAGATACGTGTTCACCTACCTTGAAAACCGACCAAAATCTCTCCTATACATCGCGTTGTTTAAAAGATAAAAGAAGAAATAAGCCACGAAATGTGCTGAATATATTTCACGAGACACTTCCAATATGGCTTCCGATACGCTGTCTACTTAAAAAAATTGTGTATGCCTCATAAAAAGTCTTAAAAATATGCCTGAGAGCCTCGAAACGATGACTGATTCTGTCCGACTCCGTCCGTTGTTTTGAAAATTTTTGATCAGTGGGGCGATGTTTTGATTTGTTTGTTGATAAACACAAGCGCGCCTTCTCATTGGTTGAAAAGTGTCGCGTGACCAGTTGGCACTGTCCTTAAATTTAGGGATATTCCGGACTGAATACTGATTAGGGTTAAGCACTGAAAATACTGATTAGGGTTAAGCACTGACCATACTGATTAGGGTTAAGCACTTAGAATACTGATTGGGGTTAACGGTTAGCTTCTTTTTAGGGTTAGGGTTTTCGCTACAGTAGTTAAATTACTCCGAGTCCCTGTAGCGAATCCTTGGTGGTGTAGTGGTTGGGGCTTGGGGCTACTGGTTTAGTACCCCGGGATCGATTCCTGTTCGTATCTCGGAAATTTTTTTTTCCTTTAAAATTGAAGAGACTTGCACTTTGACGACATTTGTTGAGCAGTCTCTGGGTCAAGAAACTTAGAAATTTCATGTAAGTGTAAGTGAAAAGGGAGAGGGCGGTTTGAGATATGGAAACGAGTGCTATGGAAACTAGCATTTACCCTAAACAATAAACGCGTGGTTCAAATCGATTTTATATTCCTTTCTGCCGTACTAACAAAAGAAAGTATTCTGTTTCCAATCCAGAGTTAAAGTTTTTTTCTATCACGTTACTGAATTCATAACTTAACTCAGTCTCTGTGTAGTTCCTATTTTTAACGTATGCTTTACAAGGCTTATATACTTCTACACCTTGAATATTGTAGTCCATTACCATTAGGGATTAACAAAACTTTAAACAAGAAACTTGAATCTGAAACTATTATTCTTTAAAAGCTCTCTTAAATTTCGGAAACAGCTAAGATTATGATTCCATATTGTCTGCTGTAAACATGCAATCACTGGAACATAGACGGTACTATGAATCTCTTGTCCTCCTTTTTAAGTGCATAAAAGGAAATGGGCCTGACTATATTTCTGATTAATTCGAACCTCGTATATTGCGCTACAATTTAAGGAACAGCGATCACAGTCTCACTCAACCATCCTATATAATAGTCGATATTATCACAATTCTTTCACTTACAAGGTTTCGCATTTGTGGAATCAGCTTCCTTCTTACATTAAGAGATCGACTGAGTTGAGTGAATATCGTAAGCATTTAAGATCTTTTAATCTTACAATCTTAAGAGCCAGTTGTAAATGTAATTTTTGTATATCTTAGGGTTTTACTATATCTGTTTTTTTCCCGTTAGGGTTTTAAACTTTTTCTTACCGTTTTTAGTTTTTAATTAATTCCCTGGGATTCGGGTGGGTGTAGCTTTGTCAATTCACGGATATATTATTGTTATTTGTTTTCATACATTTATGATCTTTTTAAATTATTTTTTATTCAAATGCATTGTATCTTTATTGACTTAGTATTTTTATTGTCATGCATTTTATACATGAGCCTCTGGCTCCGATGATCGGGGCAACCCCATCCCACGTATCGATGTTAATAAATTGATTGATTGATTGATTGATTGATTGATTGATTGAATCCGCGAATTTCATTTTATTTTGCTTATTTCGTTAAGACTTGGGAGCCCAGGCTTCATAAGCGTTCTGGTTTCTTCTGGGCTCCCTTGCAACCTTACAATTCCTATATGTGTTCTTGTATTGTATTATATTTTGGGTAAATTGAACTGAACTGAACTGAACTGAACTGAACGCCTTGCTAAAATTTGAAATCTCGGCAACGCGAAACTGCAAACGCGAAACTGCAAATGCGAAACTGCAAACGCGTAACTGCAAACTGCAAACTGCAAACTGCAAACTGCGATTTTCGGTTTGCCTGATGCTACAGATCTCTAATCCCTGCATTGTTTCGCTATGATACGTTGTCAAACCTCCTCTCCGGGATCCTTAGGAGCAACTTTTTAATTCATTTAGCGCCTGATTATTGCCAAGTCTGGTCAAAATTGGTTACTATGGTTACAGTTAAGCTACTATGACGTCACGGGTGGCAGGAGGTCATGCAATTAGGAAGGGAAGAGTCGACTTTTTCTCAGTTTTGTTGCTGTTGTTGTTGCCGAAAAACCCTGACTCACTCAAGACAAAGTTGATAGAAACATCCGGACTCGAGGGATATCTTCAAAAATCGTTGCTTTTAGCTTGACGAAAGTGAAAACAGGCAGTCGGTTTTTCCTGCCTTCTCGCACTCACTATGTTGAACACGTGCTGTTGTATCTTGAGCTGGCTACAATTGCTGAATTGTATCACAAACGAGATGCAATTAGATTCAGTCAAGGCCACATGACTACGAATTAACCAATGACAGTCCCTGTTTAGTTGAATAAAATTCTAAAGCTACAACTTGAATTATGTAGTGTAATACTGAACTTTTGGTGGTTTACTGATTTCAGGTCCGCATTTATCATGTCCATTGTCCTCTACCTCTTTCAATTGTTTCTTATCCACTATGTCTTCCGCGACAGAGATTTTCCCAGGATTGTCATCACTGTGGATAACAGGTATTTGCCGTCTTCCCTACGTCTTCTCGTTTGGTTCTTGAACCTTGTAAAAACAGTTCAACCTACCGTAAGTGACTACGAGGCAAAAGGCTGACAGTTATCACTCTTTTAGCCTTCCACTCCTTTCTTTTATTAGTTTATTTATTTGAATAATTATTTATATGTTTATTTGATTGATTGATTGATTAATTGATTGATTAATTTATATTGCAGACGCTTGTTCTCGATTATGTCATACTTCTTCTTCTTTTTCAACATTCTGGTCGGATTGTTTTCTGGCTTTCTTCGCATCATCTTTGGTATAGTTCTAGGAGTTGTATTCCTGGCTCGTATAGACCGGTCGACCTTGATGCAGGGATTTCAAAGATTTGACCGAGGCATGTTGAAATCTTTAAAAGGGAAAATTAAACTGTACACGGTTTTCCGTGACTAGGATAATTTTAAAAAACATGAAAACAACTAGAAATAACTTACAACATGCAGCCAGTTCACGGTGAAGGCGGTTATCGCGGTAGAGACCATAAGAAACATTAGATAATATCGATGTCATGCGTCCCTATTGTTTGCTCTCCCTTTCATCTCTTTTTTATCGCCTGATTTCTCCCTCCTCTCTTATCTTTTCGACACATTATCATACTCCTCCCTGGGCTGTTCACAGACCCTCTATTTTTCCCCTTAAAGATCGTCGAGCGAGCGTATTTTCTATCAACAGATCGTCGAGCGCGCGTATCATGTGAATAAAACCGGCGGGGGATTTATTCACCGCAAGTGCCAGAGGGTGCTCCTTACTTGCTCTAGCACGCTTGCACTGTCAGATTGTCGAAAAAATCGTGTATGGCCACGCTACTTCCTTCCTAAACCGTTTCTCTCCCTCCTCAAAAGAGTGTAACTTGTTAACAACGACATTTGCAATCCAATCATTCAACAATGCCCTTAAAAGACCTTTGCCTTTTAATGTGTTCATTCACTGGCATATGCTTGCCATGAGGGTTCCAGTCTCCCTCCATCTCACATTCTTATCCTTCTCTTCTACAGCATTTGTTGCTTACCTTGGTTTTATCAACCTGCTTGTTGCTCAGAGCCATCCCGTGATGCTTTTGTTTTGTCAGCTACTGATAAACAGGGACAAAGGTCACCAGCCTAATTCGGAGTCTCCAGCAGATGCTCAATCTGAGAACCGCGATTGTTCAAAGGAAACTAGGGTTCCCTCTGGTATGTGCTTTGTTAACCTTTTTTTAACAAATATTTGAAACATTATATAAACAGTAGAACTTCAACCCCGACATAACGAGATTAGCCTGCGAGCAAGCTCTCCATTTGGGCGAACGAAGTGACCCAACCGAACGTGGTACGCGCGAGCGAGCGGCGAAGCCGCGAGAGGCGGGGGAAAGGAGAGCTTGCAACGATCTCTCATAAATTTTCATCTCTACTTCGTCTAGACAAAGCGAGATACCCTTGGACGGCGATTGTCTTTTTGCTAACTTGCGGCGCGCTTGTGGTGACAGTTTTCACGCTTTGCAGTGTCTCGGGGTTTCTGGGGTGGAAATAAAAATTTATGAGAGATCGTTGCAAGCTCTCCTTTCTCTCCCCGCCCCCCGCTCTCTCGTCTTTCCTCGCGTGCACTCGTGCATGTACTTTCCCGCAAGTGGAGTGCTTGCTAGCAAGCTATTACGAGATGCGATTAGAGCCGGACTGGGGAAGCAAGCAAATCGGGGCCCTATTCAATACATTATAATTGGGGCTTAAAATGGATTACGTTATACTGGGGTCCGTTCTGACGTATGTTAATCGAGGGTTTGTATTAGGGGGTAAGCAAAGACGTTTTTGAGCTACGCACGTCAACCGGAAGTGACGCTACAATTTCCTCTACCTTTCCTCTTTGGTGTATAGGCAGCTAATTCTGTTCTTTTTTCGTTTGCAGTGTATACTCGTGAGCGAAGACTCCCGCGTATGTCTCAAAAGGCATTCAATCGCTGGCATCTGTCTGTGACACTGCTTCGTAACTCGTGTCTCATCAAATATCGTAAGCGGGTTGGTATAAGTCGTGCAACTTCCGTTAGCCTCAGAAGTATCCGTACTGACTTGAGCGACCTTGTGCCTGCTTGACTCTAAGTAGGATTGTTGATTGCGGTGATACATTTTGTTTTTTTCAGCCAATTTTTTACTCGTGATTAGAGACAACTCGCTATTAGGAGTCTTCAAAGTTGTTTGCTAGTAAGGGACTGTGCAATAATTATCAGGAGGGGGGGCCCTAAAACCAGGGGGTGGGGCATTACATAAAATTGCTGCCAAGATAGGGGGGGCTCAAAGTAAAATCACTGATTTGACGGAGGGGGGGCCTTAAGTTTTATTCGAAATGTAAATAAAATTAAACGCAATAAAAGATTCTCAATACAGGCATCATGATAGACTGTAACAAATATCAACACGAACAGCTGTTAAACGATTATTGAAAATATTCCATCAAAATGAAAAGCAAATTCACAACTGATCAATTTTAACCCGTCTTCTAATTAATTGAGCTGATCCTATGTAAAGCAAAAATCATAAACTTGTTTTTCAGCTTCCCCCATAAAACAATGGGAATCAAACAGATCTCGTAGACAAGCTTTGTCGGTTTTTGATGTGACAAAAAGTAACGTTTCTTCATCGACTGAATCGATTTGCAGAATTCCATATATATGTGGCTCATAACAAAGTTCAACAGGCTCTCCTCCCAAGGATCTAAATATAATGCAAGCTCTTTTTCCTCTGTTATTTGAAGCGTTCAATCTCCTGTTCTTTGATTTTTTTTTCTCTGCTCGTTTCTCTTTTTGGCTTCAGAAATTTTAGATTTTGAGCCAATGTGGTAAGCACCCCGGTACTTAGCAAATGCTTTGTCTAAATCTTCAATCAAGCGATCAACATCCTTCTCGATACTAGATGTTACATAATAACGTTTGTCATTATTGAAGCTGTGATGGCAGCTCAGTCCAGTTTTGAGTTTACCAGTGTAGTGGGAGGGGGGGGGGGTGCGACGTTATTTTTAACATAACAGAGGCGGGGTTAGAACTAATTTTTTGTTTTTTGGAGGGGGGTACTGTCTAAGTTTTTGCTAGATAACTCTAGTTTTTCAGCCCCCCGCTGATAATTATTGCACAGTCCCTAATAGAGGAAATATATCGTATTATTTCGTGTTCTTTAAATAATCACTTTGTAACATTGTTTACTTGCCAGCAGCAGGAAAAAGTTAGAGCTCTGGCGTAACTGGCTCAGTAAAAATTTTCTTATTCAGATCTTAAAGGAGCTGTGTCGACGAAACTAATTTTAACCAGATTCAGTCACTGGGAACTACTAAAGTAGGCTGAATCATCTTCTTGACGCTCTCGGTCTCTTTTTCATGAAGTGGTGTAATCTGTCATTATAACGTGCTGACTCAATTGTGATTTGAGCTGCGGTGGACTTATACATGATGAATGTTAAATGGCCCCAACTGAGTATTTAATAATTTCTCAGGTGGATAGCCGGCATTGAAGCATAAAACCGTTGTAGCTACCTTAACATTTTCCCCAACTTTTACCGTTTTTACCGGATTTTATTACAAAAACACGCCTTTAGCATAAACGTTAAACTATAACCTTTTCGCCCCATGTAAGGTGATCCAGGACAGTCTTGGATTCTGGAATCCACACGGTGGATTCCGGATACCTGATACTGGATTCCAGTATTTGTCAGTAGATCTTGGATTCTGGATTCTAATCGGATTCCAAAACCCAGAATTCCGGATACCATAAGAAAACATTTCCCGGATTCCGGAAGGAGGTTTCCATTATATGGTGCGAAGAACGGCCTTTGGTTAGCCTTGGCTCCACAATAAAAGAGGGTCTACTTGAAAGGTTTCGGATCCTCTCAATAGGCCACTTTCGCTATCAGAGAGAGACTTTATTTATTCATATCAGGGTAGCCCATTCAGACGCCTTAGGCACTATTATCAATTGGGGCCCTGATAAAAATTAATTAAAATGATAAAACTAATAAAAACTATACAATTATACTAAAATACTCTTAAAAATTAATAAATTAAAACAAAAGCTAATCTTAAAATATGGACTATATACAGTTACAGTAAACATGAATAAAATCTTAAAACATTAAAAAAATTCTCATGCTGAGAATCCCGTTTTTAAGAGACTTCCCCTACCGAGACGTTTTGGGACTTTTGATATGTTATCAAGAATAAGTGTCTGGGTTTAAAACAGTTAGGATATCTCCTGTTGCAATTATTTGCAGGTTTACTCACTTTATTCCCCAAAGTGAGTGGACTAGATTTGGCTACATTACTCATTATTAGGGAGCTTAAGCAACTACGACGACGACCACAACGACGACTTCAAAAAAAAAAAATAGGGTTAATGATCAAAACAACAACTCTACTCGTGCATCACGCTTTTCAGTGCATTTCTTTGACGTCCACTGCACGACTACGACGTGAAACCTCCTAATTTAACGTTTTATGCAGGACGTAGACATACGGCGACGACTTTTCCTTTGTCTTTTTGAAGCTGAATAAAATCCTTAAGAATTCAACTCCAGGAAGAGTCGCCTGCATTTGACATATTTAACGGGTCCAAATAGACGCGATTAAGTTTGAAAGAACGCAAATTCATTTGTTCTACCGACGTCTTCACTGAAGTCGTCGTCGTCCTCGCTTAATTTCCCTACTGATTATTTTAATATCAAACAAAAGCTCTTGTCGAATGAATACTTTAGCACTCCAACGACTAGCATAAATTGCCTCTAGCGATTGAGTCGACCGGTTGACTTGGCAAACTGTTTCTTTTCGAGCTGACTGTTGTTTTTAGGAGAACAGAAACAACGACTGAGTTTAAACTGTTTTTTAACGAATCCATTCTCTTTAACTTTTCACAGAGCATGCCGCAACATATTCTCTGTTGTTAACGTTCGACTTGTCGGGTGACTAAAGGAAAACGTTAAAAAAAGTCACAATACCGGAACTTTCTTATTCTGTTTTCTTAAACAGTTCCTTTCTTTTTAAAGACCTGTAAAAATAACTTATGATAATTTTTACTTTGCAAAAAGCTGAAAAGTTACTTGGAATAGTTAATCCATAATACTGGACAAAGACACGTGATACTTCATTCCTAGTCCAGATGTCGACGCTGCTGCATGCACGCTGCTCGACACTCAAAACAAAAAGCGAAGACAATTTCGCTTCTTTTATCCCTTGTGAGGTTGGTTTGATTGTAAAATCTTCCAAAGTCGCTTTCTCACGGGATGTTACTAAAACGGGGAACGGGGAGCGGGGAGCGGGGAACGGGGAACGGGGAACGGAAGTCTGGGAACGAGTTGTCAGCGGAAACCTCCATAAAAATCCAATATGGCCGGTAAGGATCAAGAACCCGGTATTAAGATCGATGATAGAGAAGCGTCGAAACAACACTTAAGGTCGCTATTTTACTAATGAACTATATTCTCATGAGGTGCTTGAAATAATACGGAGGTAATAATGTCATGACATTTTTCACCTTTTTGCGTTTTACTAAACTACAAAATATGCTCCAACAGCAGTTGAAAGAAGCTACAGTCGGGACAAAAACTCTCAAAGCACAGCCATATTTGGAACTCAAGCGAATCTATACTGGGTCTAACTCAAAAAGCAATGAACTACTTTTGCTTGACGCTTTTCCTAGGGTTTTGGCTTAAATACAAACATGCTGAAAGATAACGTAGATCGAAGCAGCCAGGTGTATTTCCTCGACAGTAATAGTGTAGCAGTGGAGCTCCTTCTTAGCTGTAGCGTTTTTTCAAGCCCAAATTAAAACATGTTGGCGATGAGATAAAACTGTAAGTCTAATAATATTGTATTTACAAACCTATGATGAGAAGTAAGTGCAATTGTATTATTTGAAAAGATAAGATGGATCAGGTTATTTAATACATCAATAAAAGGCAACTTTAAACATATTAACGGGCAATGTGCCAGGAACATCAATCATACCTTGGTCTTAAAGATGTCAGTTGTTTCAAAGCAAATGGCTATGCTGTGGTTTTATTTTATTATAACCTAGGTTTAAATTTTGCTTCCCTTTGTTTGGGGGTATGGTAATATGAATTTTATGATCATGAGTTCAAAACAAAGAGAATAAAATTCAAACTTAGGATAAAAGTGAACCACAACTGAGCTGCAATATTAAGTGTTGCAAGTATACGTGGGGGAAGTACTTTAAAGTCTTTGGTTGGAAGGTACTTTCTAAAGGCTAGCTGTTAAAATATGCATGGTAAGTATACTTCCTCTGTTTAGCCCTCTGGATGCTTTTTTTTTTCCTAGGGGGACTCCTTTAATGTTTTTGCAGAGGGGAGCTCTGCTTCTCTTTAATGAACATTATTTTTACTGTGGAGAAAAATATTTCAAGCTCAGTTTAAAACTGAATGTATCAGTGAGTTAAACCAGTTAATATTGTCAAGCTGCTTTATTAGCTTGATTCAGTAATATTGCAGCCAGTGCACCTACCATCAAGCATCACATCATCAATGTTGCAGAGGTTGGCAGCTTATTAGAAGGTGGTTGATAAGCCTTCAAGCAAGCTGTCTGTAGTTTTGGAAATAAAGAGTCTAAGGTCTCACACAAGTGATGGGAGGCAAAAGATTGGAGTGCCGATATGTTTTTCAGTAAACACGCGCAACTGTATGTGTATAGTGGCCACATTATGCTTACTCAATGCATGTAAAATAACACAATAGATCTTGCTACCCATTTTCCCTGATTTTATTTCCCCTCCAGGGGACATCATTTCTTTTAACATATCGGGGTTTTCAAAAAAGGGGCAAGAAGCTTTTAAATGAATTTTAATTCATTTAATGAAGCACAGTATCAAAGAAATTAAAGAGAAGCATCAGACTAGAGTAACAGTAACCCAGAGGGGAGGGGGGGTACTCACCAAAGAGGCTCTGCCCCAGGGACCAACCCTTTACCCTTTGTATGTACCATTTTAGACAGAAAAGGTACCCCTTTTGTATACCCTCTAGTGACAAATGGCACCCCTTTCACATACCTAATTTTGAACGCTGCATCCCTTTTTAACTGCTGTAAATACACCATCTTTACAATATGAATAAATAGCTAAAACAGGTTTTCTTGTCTCTCACATCCATAAAATGCATCTGTGACTGATCTCATTTTGGTCCCTTTCATATACTTCAACTATAAAAACCCCTTCCCTTTCATGTA